AATTACTATTCACTGTGCAAATTTTAGATTACAGGTCTAACTTTGAAAAATCATACCTAATTCTACAAAAATCATATGGAGGTGTTCTAAAATTCTACAAAAATCTCTTTTAATGCTCTTTAAGGAAAAAAATATCCAATTGGACTTATCTTTGTCCATTTCATATAGTTTAATCAATGAATATTACTGTTTATTTCCTAAAATCTGGGATTTCTAGATTATATGTCTTAACTTTGGAAATTCATATCTCCTTATGTACACATCCAAAAGAGGTGATTTACCTCTCATTTTAAAGCTTGGGATATGTACTATGAGTCTGCCAAAACTCATGACTTAACTCATTTGTTTGATAGGTCAAATTGAAGTCCAAAACTAACTATTGCAGGACCTACGTTTTGTCCCTTAACTAACTTTTGCATTAATTCTTTTAATTTCTTTGACATACATAACATGGGCTTACTCTTTACCATTCATACTCATGCACTTTTATTCATGCCATAAACATTATAAACACATACATTGAATTGATGGCATTCATAACATAAATTTACAATATAGGAGAATTATACATTGAACATAGTCTCAATCATTAACGTCAATAATTGTCTGCATTCTTCTCCTTGCTTCTCATGCCATTAGTGCCCATCGTTGATTGACCTAAATGGTTGGTTAGGGAGGGGTGAGATTTGGGGGAATCTCAGTAGTAAACAATACCATATGAATCATGCTAGATGGATGCTAATGCACTACATGTAACTTGTTTATTCTCTTGTTAATTAGGGACAGATTAGCATGCTCAAAGCTAACTTCTTGATGCATGGACATGGAGACAGTCTACTCATCATGAATAGCAATTACAGTAGCTAAAACATGTCACAGTAACATTCAATAACATGTACACAGCAACACACATGCATACAACATCAAGCAATGACAAATAGGTAAGTTCACTACCTTGCATTTCAAGCTTTCCTCTTGTTTTTCCTTTGACTCCCTTGACTTTTCAACCATGTGGGCATTCGGTTAACATCACCAAACATCCTCTTGGATGTTCCAAAGGTCCTAAATATAACCATAATGATCATACAATCTATTGGACCACTAGATTACATAAAGTTCAAGACTAGCTCTCTTGAACCTCAACTCTTTCTCTTAGTCTTAGGGTTTTCTTTCTAACTTTTCTAACATAAATCTCATCATTTACCATCCTTAAAATCTATTTCTTGTCAATCAGGACCACTTTAGATGGCCTTAGATTCAAGAATATCAAATCTGGAAATTTTGGTTCGCAGGTACTGTTCATGCAGAAACTCCAGAATATTTGCTCAACTTTGAAAATTCATAATTAATTCTAGAAAAATAAAAATTGAGTGGTTTCAAGTCCCACTGAAAGCTCCTTAAGTTAACTTTAGAGGAAAATAGTTTCAGGAACCAATTCTACACTAAACAATACCATAATTGTATGGAACTCGACACTCTTCCAAAAGTTCAACACTGTTTCCAGATTTCAAACCCTAAATTTGAAAAATCACCATAAATCGTACACATATCCCAATGAAGTGTTCTATCCATTGATTTAAAGCTTACAGAGTGTAATTTAAGCATACCAAATTTCAGAATCAGATACAAAGAGTAACTTATTCGAAACAGGCATCAAATCATCACATAATTCTTCCAATTTCCACATAGATCCACTTGAAACAACCTTTAATCAATGTGTTCTGACCAAGTTTAACATCAAAATCATCCTCCCTTAACTCTTATTAATTTCGGCCAGCACCTTGCCCTAAGGGAAACCAAACTTTTTAACCATAAAAACCAAAGATTCAAAGCAAGAAACAAGAGGAAACAACTTACTAACCTTAGATCTAAACTTGGTTGATCAAAGTAGGTGTCTTCCTCTTGATTTAAGCTTCAAGAATCAAAATTGCAAGAGTTTCCCCTAATATTCTTCAGCTTGGCTGAAAATGTGAAGGAGGGAGGGTCTATTTATAGCCAAAAATTTGGCTTGAATGAACCAAAATGCCCTTGGTAGCTAGAAGGAAGAGTAAGGGCAATCTTGGAAGTTCAAGTGGACTTTTGCATCATCATTACATCATCTTCTTGCATCATGCTTACCTCATTCTTCTAGAAGGTGCCAAGTGTCACAAAGGTGGTGGAGGAAAAGGGAGATTAGATCCTAGCCATTAGATCAAAACTTAATCCTTAAGTTTCCTCCGAATTTACTTGGCCCACGTTTCTCCAACTTTCTTTATGGCCTTCCGGAACTCAAAAAATTCTTCTGTCTGTTCCATAAATTCTCTTTAATTTTCAAGAATATTTATGAATTTTCTTAGGCCACAACACTCCCTTTGAGCCTTGCACAAAATTCATTTACTAAAATGCCCTTTTATCGGCATAATCGGCTCTTTAATTTATTAAAGCCACTCCACTGGCCTTTTGGTTGCAGGACTAATTTTATAAATTAGTATAACCTTTCAACCATTTAACCTCATTTTTTTATACATTTTTGAGGTCTCTTGCTATTTTAAATAATTACCTCAAACAATGTACTTTTTATTGGCCATAACCTTATAAATTCCATTTAAGCTACCTCAGGGGTATTTTTGTTTTTTCTCTTTACAGAAGAGTCTTAGAATATTATTTTTCATTTTTTGAGATTTTCTTGGAGTTCTCTGTATACTCTTCCATTTTTACCCCTGTTGGTCATAACTTTTTAAATTTACGGTTTAGTTCCTGCTTGGACTTAACTTTATATAATCCTCTCTTTGAGATTTCTAACTTAACCTTTAGCCTGTATCTAGCCTCTTTTCTCTCTCTGGGCCTTCGAGACTTTACTGGAGCCTCTAGCTTTAATTATACTTGAGCCCCTAAAAACTTTTACTTTGCAGTTTAGTCCCTAAAACTGCTTTGACTTCCTTTCTCATCTTGGGACTTCTACTAAAAAGGGGTCTAGTAGCCTATCCAATTTAGGCTATTTCTAGTACTTCTAGGCTCAAAAGTTTGGATGTTACAGAGGTCATAGTAGACTAAGCCTAAAGGGAATATGCTAGCTGAGAGGGTAAGGCCTCTTAAGGTATGAGAATGGTATGACATAATAAGCTGAGAGGGTGATGCCTCTTGAGGAATGGGAAGAAGATGACATGTTAAGCTGCGAGGTTGATTCCTCTTGAGGCTTAATAATGGGATGGCCAGGGATGAGTTTACGATATAGAAACCCCCTCAAGTAGTTAACTAGTACTGAGAGAGTACTCTTGATTTCCCTACAGATACCGTTGTTGTCGATTAGGCCAAAGAGCTGTAAGTCCTGAATAGTGTGAATTCAGGCAAGCTGATTGTGAGATACAAAGGTAAAAGAAGGAACAGAGGCCTTTTAAGGTAAAGAGAAAGATGGCTGAATATGCCAACACACCTGTTAAAGGCAAGCACAACCTATGATAATAATTATCACTTTATGATACAGAGGGCTTGGTGTAAAGCCTTATATGGCAGGAAGTACTGATCACCATTATGATGGATTGAACTAAGTATAAGAATAGTTTACAGTCTAAAGATAATGAATCGAGTTTGAGGGTGAATGAAGATGATTGACAAGGATAGTCAACTGTACATAGTAGACAGAAAGGATAAGCGGACATAAGAAAGGAAACATTAGAGGCTATGGTTAGAGATACTGACCTCAAGGAATGGGTCAAACCCCAAAGGAGAAGAAATTAACGCTGAAGACCCTTGTAAATATTATTAACAGATAAGCTGGTAGCTTATGAATTGGCCCTACCCCCTAATTCTAACCAAATACACGATGTCTTCCATGTTTCTTAACTAAAGAAGTATCAACCAGATCCCTCTCGTATTTTGGCATATGAGGATATTGCGCTCCAAGATAACTTAACATTCGAAGTAAAGCAGATAAACATTATGGATTGGCAAATTAAGCAGCTGCAAAGTAAAATCATTTCAACAGTCAAAGGGGATCTGGAAGGACTTGACACAAGAGGAAACAATGCAGGAAAAGGAAAATGACATGCAAAGTAGTCAATTGGAACTTTTTATCAAGGGCATGTGTAAATTTCATGGATGAAATTTATTTAAGGGGGGAGGAAATGTTGCATCTGTAAAAATTGACCTTGGTAATAGAGATGAAAAATTAAGTCAAGGGCCAATACAGAAGGTAGACTAGTTGACAAAGCCAAGTACAACATAAAATTCGGATAAGGTTTGTATTGATATTTTTGAAACTAGCACCACCACTCCCGCGCTCTGCGGGGGAAGCATTCACTTCAATCTAATTTTTAATTATACATAGAAACACTTCAATCTAATTTTTAATTATACGTAGAAACACTTCAATCTAATTTTTAATTATACATTAATGTTTCTAGGGGGCAAGCAATTAATAAACAATATTAGCAACACTTTTAATTAAACATAATGAACATACAGTGAGTGAATACATTAAAAAAACAATAAATCATGTCAACAACTAGAATTTTCACACATTACAACAACATCAAGTTATAAGTTGCTAAATATCTCCTTATACACAATGTTTTTTGTGGTCTTCTCACTTGTAGATACACTACTTGGAAGAACAATTTTCAAACCATCCATGCATTTGACTCTTGATAGTGCCACATATAGTTGACCATTAGTGAACACAGGCTTTTGTAAGTGTACTCCAACATAATGTAATGACTGACCTTGACTCTTATTGATGGTCATTGCAAAGGACAAAGTAATAGGGAACTGTCTTCTCTTCATCTTGAAAGGCCATTTACTTTCTGATGGGTTCATGTCCATTCGATGAATCAAAACCTTTTGATTTGGTTTTGAACCATTCAATGTAATTGCCTCAATAACAGTCTTGCCTAGCTTTGTAATACGAAGTCGTGTACCATTACATAGTCCTTCTGCTTGATCTATATTCCTCAGCAATATAATTGGTGATCCAACTTTCAACATTAGCTTATGTGGTGGCAATCCAGAGCTACTAATAGTGTTCAGAAATTTAGTAGTGTATAGATTGTCAAAGCTGTCCTTTGATTCGAAGCCTGGCACACTGAATCTGAACTGAAGAACTCATGGGCTTCACCGGGCAAAAGAGAGCACATGTATTGATTGATCTTGTCAACCATTTCGATTGTTGGTGCAAGTATAGCCCTATCATTGAAGTATTCATTGTTTGACAGGTTTGCAATGACATCACCATAAATTACTGAGACAATACCTTCAATTGTATCTTCATAATCATTCACTAACAGTGCTTTAGGCACTTCAATGTCAGTAGTACCGTCATTTGGCTCCCCTAACTTGCCATCACCAACATCTAATAGCCATTTGGAAAACCACTCTAGTTTCTTCTTATCTTCTTCACTTCCCAACGTTGTCAATCGCATGTTTTTTGTTAAGGTGAAAATTGTACAACTACTCCACAAATATGAGGAACATATACATGCATTAACGACACTTGCTCTTGAACCTTTTGGAACCACAGGAAGTATTTGACGAAAATCACCTCCCATTATTATGCATTTCGCTCTAAATGGAAGATTTGAATGGATTAGATCCTTCAGTGAATGATCAAATGCTTCAATGCAATAACGTTGCACCATCAAAGCTTCATTACAAATAATGAGCTTAGTGCATTCAAGTAATTTTGCCAACGGAGAACCCTGACTAATAGAGCACATTGAGGTTTCATTAACTTGAATAGGGATTGCAAACCTCGAGTGAGCTGTCCTTCCAGAAGGTAGTAATGTAGCAGCAATACCACTTGATGCAATAATAAGTACAATTTTGCTTTGTGCTCGTAACGATGATGTCAATGCATTCCATAGGAACGTCTTCCCTATCCCACCAAATCCATAAACAAAAAAGAAACCTCCATTATCATTTGATACAGTAGACATGACCTTGTCAAATATGCTTTTTTGCTCATTAGTTAATGAAGGAATTAACTTATCTGCTTCAGCTTGTAAAACATTTATGTCGTAAGATAACTCCTGCATAATCAAGTTGTTTCCAACATCTATAGGTGCTGACATACCTGGAATTGGCAAAGAAGGGAAGTCATGGATGCTTTTTCCATTTTAACGAAGTAAAGCATCAATATCCATAAGTGCAACACGTTCTTTCTCTACGGGTGAAATGCTGACATCTGTAATGAATGATAATAGAATTTAGTATTAGATAATAATAAAGAAAATAATATTCTTCCAAAAGTGAAGATGAAACTTACTTGAGAAATTTGGGTCACGGCAGGGTATATACATTAAATCTTCTGACAATAACTTTGAACAATCACTCCATACTTTCTTTGGTCGATGCAAACAACAACATAAAAGCATAGAGATAAAAAATTTACACAATGACCTACCAAATGCCCAAACTGCTACTTCTTAGATTCCTGATATATATTCAGCATCATCATCTAATAAACCAAGTGCCAGACATGCTGCCCTAAAAGTTGGATGGATAACCCCATCTACTGTTCTAATATCTTCAAAAGACGAAGGCCCCTTAACTTTGGTGAGTAAGATTCGTAAGTAGTACAGTTCTCCAACTGAAGCTGATACATGGTTTATCCTACCAACAGCAAATCCTTTTTTTCTCTCCTTCCATTGCCTTTTATTTTTTTGGTACACAAAATGATTAGGAAATTCAGCATAAGTTAATGTAGCAGCAAGCCCACCCCTAGAATTAAATTTCATCCATGCTAGAAATTGTAACTCAGCAACTCTTGGCTTATCCAATAAATCCGTAACATCATCAGAGTTAGAGTAAATAATAAACTGTTGATTTGGTAAGTGGAAGCTCAACCTCTCTACTGCTGGATATCTATGATGAATTTGAAACCCAAAAATACGCCAAGCACTTTCACATGCAGATATGTACCTACAACTATAGTATTGTTGTATCTCATCAATGAAACCTGTAGCGTCGTGGTTCCTACTATTGTCAAATATTCCAGCAACAACTCTATCATTTCCCTTACTGATGTACTTAAATAAATACTTAATTGAAGTTGATTGATTGCATTTCTCCACATTAATGTGTGCTTGGAACATCTGCAATAATGTTGGATTATATGGGACAACAAATCGATTATCAAGGGCTATACCTTTAACTTCTATTTGCCTCCCATCATCTCGCCTATGATAAGTAGGATAACCTTCATCATCCAAGGTAGTTTGTTGAGCGAATCTCTTTTGGGGAAATATTTTGTGCATTTCTTATCCTTCATGCATGGAGATTTTGGATTGTTTGCCCCACATAGACCATGAAACATATATGTTTGGACCAAATCATATAATATAGGTGAAGACTCTTTGTCAGGAATTTCAGCAGATATGACTTCATCTATACGTTCAGTATTGTTGATTTTGTCTTCTGGTTCAAGAAAAAGGAGAATGTGTGCATGTGGCAACCCTCGCTTTTGAAATTCCACTATATATACCTCTACATGTTAAACCATAAGTATTAGCACAAAATAAATATAAAAGATGGCATCACTAATTGACAACAATATAATTACAAAAAGAAATGACTTCATATTACCTGCACGTACAGAGCCAAAAATTCTCTTCTCTTTTATTGTCTTGAGAAGAGAATGCAACTTCATCTTAAAAACCCTACATAAGATGTTAGGCCTATCTGAAGGTTGCAAAGATTGTTTTTGACAAAATCTCTTGATTTCTGGCCAAGCTGGATTGCAAGTGAAAGTTAAAAATATATCAGGATATCCTGCCCACCTGCATAAGGCCATAGCATCTTGGTAATTTTGTATCATGTACCTTGCTCCTCCAGTGAAAGAGGAAGTTAGTATTATTCTTTTCCTAATAGCAGACGCATCCGTTTTACCTCTAAGTACTGCATCAGTAAGACCTCTATACAACTCAACTCTAAGCTCTTTTTGATGTGTCCTAATCCAAAGTAATCTTTGAGATTCAATCATTGTGTACCCATCAACTATGAACTGTTGAAGTAACCTTGTGGCATGTAATAAGACGGAAAGCTCAAGTTCACGTGTCATCAACCTATATGAAAAGAATTCTCTCATGCTTAGCCTTTTCTTTTTCTTTGTGGCACTTAATGTCTCTTCTCTGTGCTCAATATCATCTCTATATCCATCTTCTCCATATGGGAATAGTGAAGGATATTGAAGAGGTAAATAACATGCATGTAGCTCATTAATGCGTTTGGGAATTCCAGATTGGTACTCCACAATAATATCTCTGACATTGTAACTGTTATCAATATCACTAACAATCAAAGCTGCAACTTCAGAAGTAGAAGGCATGTTGTATATGCGGCCATCATGATATCTTGAACTAATTAAGCATAACTTCAGCGTAGCATAGTTATCTCGATTTATAATTGAAGCTACATGATGGTACTGCTTTACATATGGATTAACTTCATCAAGCATCAATTTAATTTCATAGGCAAGGGCTGGATCAATTGTAGAATCTCTTTGATGTTTACTGCAAATCAATAATGAAATAACATCACCAAAAAGTAACTACTTATACCATTAAGATTATCTAGGAAAGAAATAAATTATGTGTTACCTCACAGCAGCAATCCTATTGGGCACTTCATTTTCTGTGTCAAAAATATAAAGCTGTGAATACACAAGTTTTAGAGCCTTCCATTGGCAGCAAACTCCCAATACTATGATAATTCATTCCAAACAGAGAGAATGCATATGGGCCTCCACCAAAATTCAAGCCATGATCAATCTTTCCTCCCATTGAGGTGAACGAAAACATGTTATTATATTGTCGTATATTTGAAAAAAAGTTCTTAGATTTATTGGAGTCCTTTTCAAAGAAAAGTTTATTCAACAAAAGGGGAGGTGATTTCATAGGTGGTAATAGAACTTTTCCTTGCATGCAACATAAGGAAAAAGTATTAGCATTCCTTTTTTTTCCATCCTTTTTAGCCCTTTCATTATACCAAAATATTGCTCCACAATATTTACATAAATGCATAAGATCACCTTCGTCTACATACTCTGTGATCAACAAAAGATATTACAGTAAGCAATATTACAATAAGCAATAAATAATTTCATACTTTTACTAATCGCTATAGGGAAAAATGAAAGTTACCTACTAACTATTCCTTAAAATTGTAAGCTGGATCTGCTATTTCATTGGAAGGTGTGATCTCTACAACTGGTCTAGAGTTGACATCATCTAAGTCACATAGCAAATAAGATGTAAGTGCATTAGAAAATTATGGATGTGATTAATTGAATTAATGCTAAGGGTTTTACCTCCCATTATATCTGTAATACTCTCCCTACTCTCACTATATTCATTATCGCTTGAAACGAAACTGAAATGAATGTCCCGGTAGTCCACATCTGCATTGTCTACTATGAAAATTAAGAAATATTGACATTATGTAAGAAACTTTGCCATTGAAATTATATAGGCTTATAGAGATATGAAAGACATAAATAATACCAACCAATTGGATAAGTTTCATGTAACGCTTGGGATGGATGTGTGATAGTTGAAGCATTACTGTTACGTGTATTTTTTCTTCGGACAAGTTTCTTCGATGGCTCATCACATTGTAATTGAGAATGACTGCATATTCTATCATGTACATTGATACTTAACTGAATATTACTCCTTGTGTTGGCATCATTAATCGATAAACCCCTCAACCTAGCACTTATTCTCTTAAAACCGTGGTCACCAAATAGTGGTATATTTTGATGGGCAAGATCTTTTGTAGACATTTTCTTCTTCTTAGAACTTGATACTGTTGCAAAAAAAAAAAGCACTAAACCTTTCAATTCATACTAAATGAATGGTGAGTAAGAATATTATAAGTGCCTGCACCTGGAGGATTACTAACTGCAAAACAATTTGACAGATTTAATGCAACGCTTGTGATATCATGCAAAACAGGTCTACTATTTTGCTGTTTGTGCAGATGATGATTGATATCTGAAGTGAAAACTTCTGATGGTTGAGTGTATCTATTTAAAGATAATGGAGGCTGCTCATTTTCTTTAGACGTTGGTGACGTTAAAGAGTTCGCATCTATGTCAAGGCAAGATAAGAAAACAAACGATGCAATTATAATTATAAGCATGGGAAGTAGTAGATATAGATAGAAACAAAACAAATTGATGTATAAGATTATTACCTGTGCTGGTCCTACGGATAGAAGGGGATTTTGTAGATGGTGAAGGTCTCTTACGTCTCCTTCGCTTACATGTAGAACCGTTCTCATCAGGTGATGGCTCCATATTATCCATGAGGAGATGCCCCCCAAGCGAGATATTAATGTGCTCCTTCAACTACAAAAGTTTGAGATAAAGGTCAGATACTAGCTTACTTGGCTTTTATGGGAAAAATTCACTTATTTGTTTCATTCTTCATTCACTTATTTGTTTCATTCTTCTTATTACTATTCCTTGAAGACCAATTAATCAGTGATGACGTGTGATGAGTGAGCCATAAGTAGCATCTGTTGAAGTTCGCATAGTATTAATGCCACTGTTCAAGAAATTGAAATTTGGAAAATGAATGGATATCAATGAAGGATAATTTGGGTAGATAAATGAGGTATGGCTTATGTGGAACACTGGGCTTAAATTTAGGTAGACAAATAAACTCATGAAAATAGGCTTTCTAAAATAATTTGATTAAATAGAGGTAGATGAATAATAGTAGAAGGGTATATGAAAAGGAACTGTTATTTGGTCAACCTATTTTCTTATTTATTCAATTAATAATTAAATAATTAAATAATGAATATGAATACTTTACTATTTAACTTTTTACTAATTAACACATAACAATTGCAACCAATCTTAAATGTAGTAATTAATTAATATTACTCAATGTCAACATTAGTAAATATGACACGAGCGCTTAATTTTCAACCCTTAACTACAATGGTCATCTAAATTGAAGGAACAATGCTGCCGAAATGATAATCTAATTGTGGGACTATGGAATATTTTCAATCTTTGTCGAATCCTATTGATCAACTTTAATATCCTCTCCTCTTAATTGAGTTATGTAATGTGATCCTATATTTGCATGATCATGTACAGTGCAATTACATTAATTTTTTTTTCATATTATAAAAAGCAATAATATTAAGAGCATTAAGAACCTTTATAAAAATTGATATCGAACTCAAATTAAAAGCAATAATACTCTTCATTAAAATTGGAAAACATCTTAAATTGATTGAAGAAAAGATACATAAACTAAGAACTAAGAAAGCTTGAACTCAACATAAAAACACAACACAACACATTAAAGGCTTCAAAATATTGAAAATAACAAACGTCTAGCAGTAAGATCACTTTCTCTACTTCTCTTGTTTAATAACCTTCATGTTCCTGTGCTCTCCAGAATTTCTAATAAAAGGTGTTGCAATTATCGACTCACTAGAGGTAGCATTCCGTTTTCCAAGAACCCTACGTTTCCCTTTGGATGCTGGTATAGGTATTGAAGGTGAAGTTTCATAAATAGTTAAATCAACACTGGGTGGTATGTACTAAGTAGAAGGCGGATTGAGGTTCTCAACCTTCTCACCATCACCATTACCCTCTTGGTTAGGGAAATCAAAAACAGAGTTTCCATCCTGAAAATAAAAAATTAACTATGTCAACATATTCTAACAAATTCAATAAGATGAAGAGCAAAGACTTCAGAAAATAAGGTCACATTCATAACCTTCTTAGCATTGATGGATCCAATCAATTCATCCTGCCATCACAACCACATCAAACTTGATATTTGAAAATTTCAAAACAACAACATAAAGCATGAACTACATAGATTCATATGAACCATTACCTCATTTGAAGCTTGCATAAACTGTTCAATCAAATCTTCACAAATTGTGTAGCTAGACACACTAATACTTGAGCTTGAATGCCTAGCATTATAATCATTCAGCTTCATCTTAAGCATCATCTTCTTCCCAATTAAATTTTCCAGTTCTTTTGGAATCCCATATAGGTTTTTGTTCTGTCATACAACAGACATAATTCATCAGGATAGAATAGCACTTATAAGATGAAGAAAAAACATTTAGTAATTTTAGTTATGAGCTTGTATTGGACATAGAATGAATTCACAATAGCATATATTATGGACACAAAAATAATTACATTGTCCACAATGACGTTTAACTCTGCAGCAGTCTTCTCGACCAATTGAACAGTAAGGTTATCCCAAAAAACAACAGAAGCACTCCCAGAGTCATCCATAACAGTGTAATGCACCTTTAACCTGAAACACATCAAGGATTACTACTTGCATTGATTGACTCTTACTTTGTAAGTATTATGTATCCATAAATAGTATTATAAACTTGTAGATATTATTTGTTCATTTTTTATTGCTTGTTATTTATTACTAATTATTAGTATTACTAATTTATGCATGCAATATCAATTAGTTAAGTAGCAGGTAAATGTTAATAATTGATGTGAATAACAATTTTTAAATCGATAAAATGTAATTACAATTCAAGAACCAATCAGTAATGATTATATGATTACAATTGATGAATTAGTAATCCGAATTTGGAAATACTATTAATATTACAAATATTACTAATAATAATGTAGTAGCTAATTAATAATTAATATTTAATGCCTGCCTATTAATTATCATTCATTAATTATTACTTATTATTGATATTAATAATTAATAATTCATGAAAACTAATTACAAATGTTAATAATGAATAATTTAACACATAAATATTAATAGATAGTAACAAATAACTAAACAATAAATAATATAGGTTAAAAAGAATTTAAAAAGAATAATAGCTACCAGTGCATTATAAAAAATAATAGATACTAAGAAATAATTATTATGAATCGAAAAGAATAAGTTATTAACCATTAATAATCAATAACCCAAATTCCAGATTTTATAATTAAATTAATTTCTGAGATAGAGAGCCAAGAACATATACTTTGGCTTAATAGAGTCAGGTGTTTTCTTACACCCAGAGCATAAAAGGATGCCATTACTATCTGTTGGTTTTGTTGCACACTTAGCACACCCATCATAGGTCCATCCATATCGTGTTTCATGCTTCAACACAGTGCAGCTGATCACAAAGTATTCACCCTATTAACATAGAATGATTCAGATTATAATATCCATATTAGAATAAAATGCAATGCATTCTAATGGCAAGACAGACAATTTTCTGGTTTGGAATATTGCATATCAAAATCTTATTATCCTTGCGAGATATGGTTGATGCAGATGCTTGACTTGAAGGCATAAGCTAACTGGATAAAACACTAATAGGTGATGATTTGCCCTTAGCACTGCAAAGTAATAGAAAAATGACGACATTACATTGATGATGGAACTAAAAAAATGAAAAAAAAAACACCTATATTATGGACAAAGAGACTAACCTAGCAAGAAGGTCTGCCACCTCTTTAATAGGAGGCTTAAAAAAAATTCTGGTTACGCTGAAAGAGTTAGAAACCTGAGGTCTACCTAAACATAGATACACAGTAACGTCTATTAGTGACATGCATAAAAATTATATACAAAATAATCATAATATCAAATTTCATTACAACATTTTTTAGGTCAATAGTAATACCATCCTCAGAAAACCCAATCTTGGCATAACTAAGGAGCATAACCACAGGGGAATCTATAGTGTGGACATGAGCCAAGTAAGCATCCTTCGAGCATTGCTCATACAGGACACACTCAACTTCCCTATCACTGAGTTAAGATAATTCCATCATCAATAAGCATACAATACCATAATATGTGAGATATAAGACAAATGATATCATGTGTCAAAATGATATTCCATAATGTAGGGTGATGTACTCAGCATTTGAGAGAACCATGCAAATCTTATGCTTTGTCTCATTGTCCCTCCTATATTCTTCTAAGTTTCCCACCGAGTTCACAAAAGCTATAACATCTGCATCACATTTTGAACTTAGTATAATATCCACATACAATCCAATCCATGTGTCTTATAAAAGAAGATCTCTATAGTTTCACATCACTTACCCACTAAGTACCCTATTAGCTTCTTCGGATCAACCTTAAGTATGTCAACAACAGGGAAGAAATCATATGAATATAATGGAATATTGCCATCTTGTTCTTGCACATAGGTAAACTGATTGAATGAGATTTTATAAGGATGCCTTGTTGGTTTGTATTGCCCTTCATTCTTTGTGACTTCAATGTTGGCTATTAAATATATCTTTCCTTCCTCAAGGGATTCAGAATATTTGTCATGCAAACTCCTGGGCATCACATTTGCCTGCATCTTATGTCCCTGTGACACAAAAAGAGAAATCAATCACTATGATCAAACATATTTCATATTTCAGAATATAAATATAATATGAAGTTCCTAAATGAACATAGCACATAGCATATGAATAAGTTTGTAAAACCTTAGAGTCCATCAGCACCATGGAGATACAATACAATTCTTTTGGAGCTCCCTTGGAATATACAAACCATCTCCTAAAAACCCTCACCAGAATAGTCTACCTATCAGTTTGGTCATTAATCTCATCAAGCAAAGAGATGGAAGCCATCACGGAATTGATATTGATAATTGAAAAATGAGGAAGAAGTGTTCTAGCAAGTTGATAGGAAGAAAGAAAGTAAGGGAAACCTACTGATTGGCCATTGTGGGAGGAACTTAAATAGTGATAATGAATGAACATTTGGCGGGAGAAAGATTCAAATTAGATAAGGATGATAGATTTCAAATTAGATAAGGATGACTTTATGTCCAAGCAAGCTAGGGTGTTATTCTTGAGAGTTTGCAATAGTTATGATCTTGGGCTTAATGGAGCAATATTTCGGCCCATTCTACCAAATAGGACAGCCAAGTAAATATGGAATAAATGAATAAGTCATGACTAATAAATAATTACTGATTATTGATTGAGTATTAGAAATTAAATTAACTATTACTTATGATGTGGTTAAGTTACTTACCAAAGGCTTGTCTCTTGTGATGCAAGGACATGTAAGAAGCAATTTGACTACTCGTAGGCATCAGTTGAATTCCAAAGATTCTATATCACTTTCAAAGGAATTAAAATGTAAAGAATTTAAATGGTTTGCTATTCTAGTGAGTTATTTACCATCTGATAGCGTAACCGAATGTGCTCCTCCATGAAAATGAGCACATTAGCATCCCTTTGTATGAGCTTCCCATTATCATTGAAGTGGATAACTTGCAAGTTGCAGATCAAGTGAAACAAAATGCTGGTTAGTAGAGAGATTGTACTCGCATAAGTCCAGGAAATCATCAAAGCCACTGAAACAGCAAATGAACTCGTCATTTACGTGTGAAAGGCGAATGATTTCTTGAATAGTCTCCAGAAAGAAACATATCAAACCCCATTGAACAAGCAACTGAAAAGGAGTATTTTGTTAATCAATTCATTATTTCATCATTCATTATTTTATTACTCATTAATAAGTGATCAACTTTTATTTAATTAAACTAAACATATTTCATTCATTAAGAAACTCTCATTTATTGTATGACATACCTTTTGTGCTGACAATGACCTCACATATTTGACCAACAAATGAAAAGCTATAGAAAATATAACTCATGAAAACATTAAACAAAAAAAGATAGAACCCTAGACTACACACAGTCATTGTCACAGAATAAGTTACCTATAATGCATTCTACAGGTTGAACGAAGACCCACTTAATTCAACATCAAAACAAAATGAAACAGCAGCTAGAAAAAACAGTAAAAATTGCATCTGCCTTGCTCAACACGATGCAAGATAAATGAAATATCTGTTGGTTTCTGTAAATATCCAGCAACATCATTTAAGGAAAACTCATAAAAGCCGTATGGAGAGGAAGTATTTACACAACAGTCAATCCACACTTCTCCAGATTTAATAAAATTAGTAAAACCTCCCACTTACAGGGTCAACACAATGTACATCTTGCATAGCTTGAAGTTTGCTTGAACCTAAAGAAACGCTTCATCCTGCTTGACAATAAATGATGTACTACTATCAGCAAAACAAATACATAAAAATACTACTTTAGATAGAACATACAAAAAAGGGACCAAGCATCAAACATTGTTGTTCCTTCATTGCAGAAATTGAATAAACAGAGCAAAAAAAAAAAAACTATGTGGAAACATCACAAAGTACGAAAAACTCAAACCAAATAATGTGTCTCTTCAATTTATAATCTTTAACACTGCATAAAAATGAATCACAAAAGAAAAATTCCATCAGCCGTTGATACCATATGACTAAATAAATAATCAGCTTTATACAAGAAATAGCAGCAATAAATAACATTTGGTAAGCTTGACAATATATCTAATAAACTAATATGATAATATTACTTGGTAAGTATAAAACCTGGGGAAAATATGCTGACTAACTAATGCAAACCTTGCTTCATGGTCAAACAAAGTTTAATATAATGAATCTCACGTAGACTAAGATAATAAATTATAGACACAATAAACACGATCAAAAAAATGCTAAGTGGTGTTGGAAGAAAACAACACTCTCACTGTAACATATAGAGAATCCTCCATTTCTCAAGAAGAGCAGACATACGTTGGGGGCATCGTCGAGCACTAAGTGTGCCTACCTCAACATCAACGACCTGTACATCTGGATGAGAATCTGAATGTAAATAGAAACTTGACTTTAAGTATTGACATATGTGAGAGAATAGAAGTAGCACAAAATAAGAAACTCTCATTCATTGTATGACAGACCTTTTATGCTGACAATTACCTCACATATTTGACCAACAAATGAAAAGCTATAGAGAATATAACTCATGAAAACATTAAACAAAAAAAGATAGAACCCTAGACTACACACAGTCATTGCCATAGAATAAGTTACCTATAATGCACCCTACATGTTGAACGAAGACTCACTTAATTCAACATCAAAACAAAATGAAACATTAGCCAGAAAGGACAGTCAAAATTGCATCTACCTTGCTTAACACGATGCAAGATAAATAAGAAAAGACAAGAGATATACTTCACATGAAATATCTATTGGTTTTTGTAAATATCCAGCAGCATCATTTAAGGAAAGCTCATAAAAGCCGTAGGAGAGGAATTATTTACACAACAGTCAATCCACACTTCTCCAGATTTAATGAAATTAGTAAAACTTCCCACTAACGGGGTCAATAAAATTTACATCTTGCAGAGTTTGAAGTTTGCTTGAACCCAAAGAAATGCTTCAACCTGCATGACAATAAATGATATACTACTATCAGCAAAACAAAGACATAAAAACACCACTTTAGATAGAACATACAAAAAAGGAACCAAGCATCAAACATTATTGTTCTTTCATTGAGGAAATTGTATACACAAAGCAAAAAAAAAAAAACAAACTACATGGAAACATCGCAACATAGGAAAAACTTAAACCAAATATTGTGTCTCTTCGATTTATAATATTTAAGACTGCATAAAAATGAATCACAGCAGAAAAATTCCATAAACCGTTGATACCACATGACTAAATAAATAATCAGCTTTATGCAAGAAATAGATTCCACATTGGGATGGGTAAATGACACTCTCAATCAAAGACTCCTTTATTAGGAATGATCATTGTAATACATAGAAAATCCTCCATTTCTCAAGAAGAGCAAACATACTTTTACCTCTGACATCAACTTTTTCCAAATACATTTGACTATAAGAATAAACCACTGAACCAAGTGTCTAGCCATAGGCACATAGATCAGCGTAAATAAAAAATATAGTTATATAGGTAGACAAAGTGTAACAAAAATGGTAACAAAAAAGTATATAGGTACCTATATCCAATGCCCACATACCTTAAACGTATAAAAGGTAATAGCTTGTGTACAAATTAAAAAGCTAAAAGCAACCCACTAACCTTAGAGATAGCTTTCTGTAATGCAAAGAAATACTATCAAAATCAAATTACGGCATGACAAGTTCACCTCACTGTTATAGATGAAACCATCTAGCCCAAACTTAACCAAGGAAACTTCACTTCACAATCCAAATGCAACTACACCCAATATTATCTTACCTTAGTCACCAATAGTTACTTCAACTTCCACTACAGCAACTCATGCGCTTAGAACATTGCTTATTATTGACAAAAAAAAAAAACAGAACATTGCTTATTAATAGCACAAACACTTGGCCATTTACACCATTACTACCCCCCAACAACCACTTTATGACCTCATAAGGATGACGACCAAATTCACCTACCTAATGGATGATACCTTCTTTTCAGTCTTGTCTTATTGGGAAAAAAATCATGTCTTAACCCTCACCATCAATTGTGGTCCTTTGATTGTGGTACAAAACTTCGACGACATAAATTCCAGAGTCAATATCCGCACGGCTGAAAGAGGAAAAGCGATCGTTGGCATGTACAGATGGTATGATTCAAGGTATTTTCTATTCAGGTGTCTGTATGGTTTAATTCGCCTATATGGTTTTGACAACACAGATTGCGAGCTTGCAGATGATCACCATTTACTGTACACAAACTACTACTGTAACATCGTCCGCTCATACCGTGATTACATACGCGTGAAGGTGCCGACTGACCATCAGCAGCCTTTTCTTGTTCAAAATCTCTAATGCCACACATACATGAAGATACTGCCACATAAGAAACGTCATCGAACTAAGATTCCGTTGCGTTAACCAAACATATCGATGATGATGGATGCTGAAGAAGAACATGAAGCTGTCAAACTACCCGATCCAGAGGAATTAGGGCTTCATTTAGGATTTGTGGTTGGAAAGTAATCCTGAGGAAAAATCAGATCTTGCTGACAAAAATGCCCTATTGTTCACTTCCATATAGTGACCCTATTATAATATTATTAGCATTTAGGTCTCACAAAAAATCTCCGTTGGCTTCTTATGATATTATAATTATTATTATCATTAGTATTTAGATTATTATGTTATCTGTCACAAAAAACCTGCCTTGTTCTATTGTTTGTTATTATTATTAGTGTTTAGATTATCATGTTATCTCTTGCAAAAAAAAAAACCTGAGTTGTTATCTTGTGATATTATAATAATAATTATAATTAGTATTTAGATTATTTATTATGTTATCTCTTGTAAAAAATCTGCGTTGTTATCTTGTGATCTTATAATAATAATAATAATTAGTATTTAGATTATTATGTTATTCCTAGCAAAAAATCTGTGTTGTTATCCTATGATATTGTAATTTATATGGCATATTGAAAGATAAATGAAGCTTCATTTTTGGTACATTTATTAAGTTTATTACAATTAGGAGTATTCAGAGTATACCATTATCTACTATTCCGTTGATATTTCATTTTTACTTCACTTGGACAAAATTAAATCCTTATACTTGTCAATAATCTTTTTAAATACACAACCAATTCTGAACGAAACATTATGTTTGTTACCGTAAAAAAATGAAACAATATTTGCAAGGGTATATATTCTTTTTTCTACTAGATGATAGATTCCAAATAAATAGATATATTAGACCAAATTATTTTTACAATAAACCTCTTTAAATTACTTTTATTGAATGATAGATTCCAAATAAATAGATTCTTATAGAATGGAAAATAGACGACCCTTTTTTTTTTCCAACCATATTAGACCAAATCATCAAGATAGATATATTGTGTAATTTGGTCAAAATTTATACCTTTCTGTTGTTGTAAAATAAATAATTATAAAATATAAAATATGAATAAACATTTTCCACTAATTATAAATTATAACAAATTTATACTTTTCTAAATGACTCTTTTATTGTCTCTCTTTATAATTGTTATTATTAGTAGTGTTTAGATTATTATGTTATCTCTCGCAAAAAAATATGAGTTGTTATCTTGTGATATTATAATAATTATTATTATTAGTATTTAGATTATTATATTATCTCTCGCAAAAAAATCTATGTTGTTATCTTGTGATATTATAATTTATATGGCGGATTGAAAGATAAATGGAGCTTCATTTTGGTACATTTATTAGGTTCATTACAATTAGGAGTATTTACAGTATACCATTATCTACTATTCCATTGATGCTTCATTTTTACTTCACTTGTGATATTATAATAATAATTATTATTAGTATTTAGATGATTATATTATCTCTCGCAAAAAATCTACATTGTTATCTTGTGATATTATAATTTATATAGCATATTGAAAGATAAATGAAGCTTCATTTTTGGTACATTTATTAGGTTCATTACAATTAGGGGCATTTACAATATACCATTATGTACTATTCCATTGATGCTTCATTTTTACTTCACTTGTGATATTATAATTATTATTATTATTAGTATTTAGATGATTATATTATCTCTTGCAAAAAATCTACATTGTTATCTTGTGATATTATAATTTATATAGCATATTGAAAGACAAATGGAGCTTCATTTTTGGTGCATTTATTAGGTTCATTACAATTAGAAGTATTTACAGTATACCATTATCTACTATTCCAATGATGCTTCATTTTTACTTCACTTGGACAAAATTAAATCCCTATACCTATCAATAATCTTTTTAAATACACACAGCTAATTCTGAATGAAACATTTTGTTTGCTACCGTAAAAATATGGAATACAAAACACTTCACTTCTACTTACTTAAAGGCTTTCCCTTTACTGACAGTCATCACCCACTCATTCTGGGGAAAAAAAAGACCACCACTTCTTGCCTAGTAAGTCAAAGTAGTGGTGAACTTTATCAACAAAACATCATATAAACACCAGTGACAGCACTTGCTACAGTATCTTAGTAATCTTAAATACCCCCATGAAGAATCACCGCATGGAGAAATGAATCTGCACAAAAATGTACCAGTTATGTTACAATTTATCTACACAAAAAATATATGAAATGAAAGAAAAGATCACCTGAACAATTGCTACTTTCAACAATGTACGCACACATATCATAGGGTTTGTTGCATACAAAAGAATAGGGAAAGAAAGGGGCTCAAGCATGGATCATAAAGAGATAAAGGAAGTGTGCTTCAGAGTCCTGGGATCGACAGATCAAAACCTGCTTGGGGTCATCATGTTCTGAACTTGTATTCTCTTCTGCACTTCCGAGAATGTTCTTGTTTTGGGAAACGCAGATAAAGATGGACTCCATCATCTCTGTAAGCAAGCCCATCAACCAATCCGCTTCCAAAACGTTTCCTTCAGCAAGTTGCTCCAATTTCCTCAGTTCTAGAAATAAAAACTTGCCACAGAAAAAAAAAAAGATATATTAGATCAAATATAAAATACAACATAAATTTCTCAAAACAAAAAGCAGCTAGCAGTTTCTTTGAACTTCCTTCAGCAATTTGTGCCCATTTTACAAGTCACAGCATCTTTTTCTGCAACGTAGTTTTAAAAAATTTTGAGAAGGAAACTTCAACAAGTGCTGAAATGTGAGATGAATTTGAGTTTTGGTAATCTCAGCTTTCTCTTAACAGCCCATTGACTTTGACTTGATCTCTCAAGTTAATAGTATTGCTGCCTGCAGATACATTGGGTTGACGACTTTCTGAACAATATACGTGAAAGACATACCTGAAGAGCACCAGAGGGCATTAAATTGGGGATTGTGTTGGCATCACACTGTTCTTTATCGTGAGTGGCTAGAGTAATTTCATGGCTTCCATGAGTAGACAGTACTCTGAATATGAACTGCTGGCAGAATTGATGTCTCAACTTATTAGAACTTTCTTCAATAGATAATACAAAATCATCAAGCTCCGCGTGCTGATAAGTGACCGAATGGTTTTCCACTGAGTTTGAACCTATGTCAACGGTGCTTCTAAAACCCTCTTAGCCATGATACTGAGAAACTGCACTAACGTTGACAGATTTGCCAAAATAGAAACCTGTTGTGCCTACCTCAACATCAGTGACCTGTATATCTGGATGATCATCTTCTCGTCGTACTCCTTCATAGGTCCCCTCCTGAAGCCCCAGGCGGCTGCAGTTCTGTCGACGCCCATTACCTGCCTGCCGACATTCATGCTCACAACTCGCAAGTTCACCACTCTATTCATCAATCTCACGCTGGCGTCCCTCAGCCATACCAACATCTTCTTTGACAACAAAATCCTCAACAATCAGATCGTTGGAGCCATTTTGATCCTCCAGAACCGCCTCCTTTGGCTGCTCCGTAACAGCACCTTGTAGATTCTCCTCCGCCGACCTGACCCATTTAACCCCTCATGGATGCAAAGCACTTGGGAAGCTTCCCACCAAAACTAGGAGAAATGTGCCCACCAAGACTAGGTCCCACTGTATCTGGAACTTGGAGCCCAAGAAACACACACTAAGGGCCCATTTAATTGAAGCCACCTAAGCTACCAAATTAACCTTCGGCTTACATGCAGCCCGCAAGCCACAGCACCTTGTGAACAGTAACTTTGTGTCTACAGCTGAAGCTTAGCCATGTATAATAAATGGCTTGAGTGGAAGACATTTTTATTTTATATTGATTATGGTCTAGGAAGTGTAAGACAGGAAAATTTGAGAAAAATTCAAAAAAATTCTTAGAAAATGGTAAAAAGGTAAATTAGAGGTTTGCAACTTCAATGAAGGGCCTAAAGGTGAAAATGGTATGAAAATAGATTATTTCGGAATTTCCTGAAAACAGAGATTTTTTAGGAAAAGCAGTGAAAAATGGGAGGAAAATAATTATTTTAAATAGTTAGAGGCCTCAATAATTTTGGAAAAAAATATGAATTAATTATTTAAATATTTATGGGAATTTATAAAATTGATTTCAGGCTGTGAAGGTATATGAATTTATTTTTGGGAATTTATTTCCAACAGATTTACCAACAAAGGCCTATTCGGGGAAAATTCAAAATAAATAGTTTGAGGTGGAAAAAAATTCTAAAAATCTCCAAATCGTATCCTTATATTAAAATAGGATTTTTTATGAAAATAAATGCAATTTTGGTGGCCTAAAAAATTATGAAAAGTCACAATTGAATAGTAACTAATAAACTGCATTTTTGTTTGGAATTAATATTTATGAGTAGGCCCCACTTTTTTTTCCTTTTTAGGCCTAAATTGGGCTTCATTTTGGGCCAAGAAAAGCCCAAAATTTCCTGCAAAATAGTGGCCCAATAATTAAATGGATTTAAGCCCAAGTTCAGTCAAAACATCAGTAGGAATGTTCTGGAGTTTGGACATATGGCATGATCTGAAAATTTAAGGGTTGGATGGCAGCCACATGGCCATTTTGCTAGCCAAATTTTGGCCATTGATGGGGAGGAAAGATCATATTTTTTTTGTCTATAAATACCCCCTGAAATCACAATAATTTGGCCAAATAGAGAACCATAAGGGGAGGTGCTACCAAACTAAATTGTTGACCTTAGAAGAGAATCTCCAACCATGCAAATTAAGAAGGAAATGTCAAGCTTTGATCAAGGATCCATTGAGGTAAGTTTGAGCCTTCTCTTGGTTCAGATTAAAGCTTGTTTTGGCTGGAAATTCAAGTTGTTTTTTTTTTTTTGGTGCATGCTGTAATTTTTTGATCACATTGGGAAAGCATTAGAGAATGATAGAAACCATGAATATGAGCTTGGAATTACATGTTTAATGGATGTTTGGATTGAATTTTGGAGGAAATCAAAGTTAGGGTTTTATAGCACCCCATTTGGCCATGACTTGTTCTTGGGGCATGAGTTTTTTTTTATGTGTTTTAATAATTCTAATGAGTTTAAAAAGTGTTTTTGCATAGGGCTAAGGGAAAGTGTTTGAAATCATTGGAATCAAAAATAGAATTTTTGGAACATATACTACACCTATTCGGGCAAGTATAATTGAATGGGAAGGAATGTGAGTTTGTAAAATCTGATCTGATATTTGGATTTTACATGAAAAATTGTGTAGGAATGGGCCAAGAAGTTTATGAAAATTGTTACATCCGGTAATAGGATAATTAAGAATAACGAATATTCCTAAATAATTAAGGGTCAAAAATGACAAGGAGAAATAGAAGAATTTTGGTGGAAAATATTTATTATGATTTTCCAAGTTAAATGTGAAAGTTTGACTAATTTAGGAAAACTGGTCAAAAATAATTATAAAAAAATATTTTCAAGTCTTAAAAAAAAATTAAGAAAAAATAATAATAATATCGTTTGAGAATTATAGGGGATTATAAAATTAGTTTTATGACCAAATTACCCTTAGAGAAATTATAAAGGGATTTAAGGGTAATTTAGCCTAATTTAAGGGCTTTTATTTGGAAAATTCCAAATAAATATTTTTAAGGAGGATAAAATTCCAAGGAAATTTCTATGATATCCCAAAGAATTATAAGAGATTATGGAATTAAAAGAATACCCTCAAGTATCCAAGATTTTTCCTAATTCCTTTAAAAAGTGGAAAAATCAATAAAGAGAAGGAAATTAGTTTTCCTTTCTATTTAATTATTGGAAATTCATTTTTGAGACAAAGAGGGCATTTTGGAAAGATAAAAATAAGGTGAATAAATTATGAATCTGATAGAAAATAATTACAGAGGCCAAAGTACTGTAATTATAGAAAAGAAATTAAACCCGGAGTCAAAGTGCACCGATAAAGCAAGACTAGAGTCTTACAATTCAAATGGCTCACAATTGGCCACGTGCCAAGCCCCTAATGGAGAGGATTTGAATTTCTCATGTGTCACTCCTCAAATGGAGAGGATTTTGACTTTTGGTAATTAATTTCTTTTGGAATTAGTTAGTTAAGAAAGGGAAACTAAGACAAAAGGGGGTAATGACACTTATAACTTCATTTATGATGATGGTTGGGATATTTTGGTTCACTAAAGGAGCTCTCCCACCCCTATTTTCATGGCCTTACATTTGTAACTTCCTTGCATTTGTTTTCATGGTCTTGCATGTTGAGGTTACCTATTTATAAGAAGATTAGTTCTCTTATGATAGCTAATGTTGAAATGCTTTATAATGATGCATGTTGATGTTTTGGTTGATTGATCTTGCTACTGGGATCTCATTAAAATCTCATCTCCCAAATGCAATCTAACATTTTAGGGCTTGAAACTTCCAAGGGAAAGCTGCAAATTGAAGGTTAAATTATGGTGTCAAACCAAAAAAAAAAATTCATGTTCTTTTGGTTATGTAAATATTTAGCTTGGGCAATGCTGTAAACCTATTGACACTGCCAAATTTAAGTGACATTTTGATTAAGTTCCTGAATGCTTCTAACCACAAAATTCATCATGATTATAGATCATGTTCTGACCTTCATTTTGATAGTGGACACGTTAAAAATAGCCAACTACATGATTTTTAATGATTTTTCAAATTTAAGATTCAAAATCTGGAAAAAGAGTTTTCACCAAAAGGATAAAAGTGAATTTCACAAAAACCTGACATTCTTTCAAATAGAATTGGTTCACAAGATTATTTTTCCTTGAAAACAAATTCAAAGATCTTTTTATAGAATTTTGAACCACTCCATTTTGATTTTTCTGGATTAAGTTATGAATTTTTGAAGTTGGACCAGAAAACTAGATTTTTATCCGATGAACAGTAAAATTTTAAAAATCAGCGTTTTTGTGATAAAATTGAGCCCAAGACCATCCAATGTGGTCTAAAATGGTTTTGTTTAAACCCTAAGTGAATCCGATAGTAAAGTGTAATATTTTTTGGTATTAGAGCAGAGGTTCTAGCATAGGATAGAACACTTTGCTTAAGTTTATTCGTTAGATAACGGGGTTGGTTAAGGAGGAACTGACAAGTTTTTACAAGAGTTAAGATGAAAAACACAATGGATTGGGATGCTAGATCAGAGGCGTCAGTTAGTGATTGGGATACTAACATAATTGGTCTCACAAAAGAGGAGGATTCGGTAAAATGGATTATGGAGACTGCTAGCCCAGGATACTCAACAAAGGGGTCTAACAATTATCCAGGGTATTGGGCTAACCTTTTAGGGATTACTGAAGGACAGTTACTATACCTACCTAGAGCCAGTGACCTGATAGATCCTATAACTGGCATGTACCAAGAATTATTGGACCTTGGCCTTTACATTTAGTCCATCAGACCGCCTGTTACCCTAAATGTGCGTCCAAGCGACATTCTCAAACCCAATACCAGGCCAGTGAAACCCCCAGCACCTGTAATGCTTGACCCTGCTCTAACAAAGCTTAGGATCCATAGTCATGACCAACTGAAAGAGAAGGTAGAGTTCTTGGGTCGTCATATCAAGAAAGATGAGGATCAGTAAGACCCAAACATTTACCTAGATTACCTTCCGGGGGTGAAGGTGTTGTATAAAACTTATGGACCAGATAACCTTTATCTAGATACAGAGGACTGGGTTTATATGATGACGGACATGCTTCCATATTTACCCTTATGGGTGAATGAGTTCTGTCGCCTGGACCAGATAGTAGGTTTAGGTGTTGAGGATTACATCCAGTGCCTTGAAAACTTTGTTATGCAACACTACTTTTAGACAGTTAGATCCTTGTAGTACTAACGTAGGACATGTTTTGTACAGCTAACCATAGTAGGTTAGGTTGGCGATGCTTGGTTATTATGTTGATTGCTTTTCATATGTATGTTCTAAACTTGTTGCTTTGGTTGATGCATAAGTATTGTATGTGAAATGTTTTGGTAAATAAAATCCAAGCATGATGTTTACTTCTTCTTCCTCTGTTATACTATCTGAGTAGTTAAATATAATGGTTAGAACTCGACGAAACCCTTTGCCAGAGAGACCCCCAGTTCAGGATGCAAGGGTCCCTCCTAACCCATTGCAATTAATTCTGGGTCGTCTCAAGCAATAGTAAAAGACCATCAAAGAGATGAGGGGGGTACAGGCTCGCTAGGAACAAGAGAGGGATGCCGCGATAACTGTAGTGATGGCAGAGGTAATGGCTAACCTTGATAGGAGGCAGCCAGAGGAATAAACCTCAACAGCGTAAGCAACAAAACCATTGCCTAGACCGGCAATGCTAGTAGTAGACCCTAATAGCATCCAGCAGTGGATGACTCACTTGTGCAAGCACAACCCACTGTCATTCGATAGTGTTTGACATCCAGGTGGTAGAAGACTGGATTAACTACTTAGAGAAGATCTTTAAAGTATTAGACTGCTTGATAAAGTGGAAAGCCTAGATGGCAATTTACAAGTTAGAGAAAGATACTGACCGCTGGTGGAAGAATACCAAACTTTTTTGGATGCTCGGAACATGAGGGTGACATGGGAAGTGTTCCTGGAGCAATTCCATGAAAAAGATTTTCTGAGGTC